TGTGATTAACAGCAAAGCAGAGGCTACCTGGGCCTAGAGTTTACACTCTTAATATTTAATGAGAGGTGAGGGGACAAAGAACCAAAGAAATTCATGCTATATTGGTTCCCAAAACAGTAAACACTCATTTAAGTGCCCTTTTAATTTCCATCTTGATTCTAGAGTATAGTCATGTTAGCATGTGTTAGAAGGTCAAAAGACAAAGGATCTAAAACTTTATAGAAATGATGAGCATTAGACTATATGCCTTCTATTTTTGCTCAAACCAAAGTCTTTATTGGTACTATGATTTTTCATAGTTTCTTTCAACAATGGCTGTCTGAAGAGTTATAAATGTAATTATAGAATCTAATAAAGGGAAACTAAGGAAATACCTCCAACAAAAAAGGGGGAAATCACATATAACTGGGTTAAGGGGGGAATACATACTTAAAGTATATAAAAGATTGAAGAGAACACATCTCTAAAGAAATTACTTATTTGTATCCACAAACAGGCTTTAGAAAATGAACTCTCATATAAGGATAGTACTTCTCATATGCACATGCATGCACAGACACTTTATCTACACTTTGACATAATGATGAGTTTATTAGTTCTGGTGATCACTTTCAAGAGAATGACAATTTCTTGGATTAGGTTCAGTTCCCAGCACTCATATCTGGTGCCTCACAATCCCCTGTAACTCCAGCTCCTGGGTATCTGATGTCTTCTTCTGGACCTGTGGGAAACTCCACCCACATTCACAGACACATTTGCATACATATAATTTTAATTTTTTAAAAGAATAACAAGGCTGTGACTTTTTCACTTCAATATATATAGCATTTAAAATTCTTATTGACGTAGGTGTTGGCACATACTTTTAAATCTTGCATTTAAGACTGATTTTTCTTGAGAAAAGGTCTTGCTATGTAGCACACGCTAGCTTTGAACTTGTTATGTGGTTCATATTGACCTCCTTCCAAGTCCTGGAATTATGTGTGTGACAGTATACCTAGCTCAAAATACTGATTTGAATATTATGAGTCACCAAATGAGACTTGATGGGTTAGATCCAATTGTTGGTAAAATAGCGACTGGTGGAGTTCGTGGTAATGCTACTTATTAGGATGAGCACTCCTGTACAGAGAACACTTGGTTACTAAGAACCCTGTGGACAGGTCTGGAGCCAGGACTGACTAGTCATAATAGTTGGCCTTCATTGGACCAAGTAACCCAGGCCTCTGTTAGGCAATGAATATAAAATTATTCTTTTGCAAGTGCATCCATGTGTTAAAAGTGTCTCTGAAGATGAGGAAGCCCCTGAGAGGTTGACAAATGCGGTAACAAATCCTGCCTTGAAGGTTAACCTGGTAGGTGAATTTCCATGTTTACTATAGTCATTCAAGTTTAAATGGTCTGTTTCCCACCTGGAAAAATGGAATTGATCTTTGAGGATACAGAATGATCTTAGTAAGAAATTTCAAATAATAAGAAATTTCAAATAATATTTTCCATGGGATAAAAGAAAATACCCGAGTTTATGTATACTTACAGTAGAGTAGACTAAAGCATTTTATTCATGTAATGTGACTTACAGAAAGGCAAGATGGTTCTAACATAGACATTTATAGACATTTTGGCATGTGATGTTATCTTTCTATAAAATTGAAATGCCCTTTTCACTAAGTAAAAAACTCTCTCTTCAGGTGTTTTTACTCAGTTGCATGCAAAATTCTCCCAACCCCTAGGTGCTCCACTGTTCTAAGCTTAAAAGGGGCAAATGCATCTGTCCACCAGGATGCATTTTGCTCCAGAGCCACGAAGGGGACACTGGCAGCAGCTTCCCTCTCTGAACTTAATTCTACAGCATCATGTCTTCTAGTGCAAACACACTTGGCCTGCTCAGGGGTCATGTGTCAGTGGGCCTGAGGAAGTAACCAGAAGGGAATTCACATTTTAATTCCTCCTAGGCCATAGTGAAGAAATATACTTACGTAATAGTCCCCTGACCCAAATGCACACACAGCCTGCTCTAACAATAAACAATGCACTGAGTAGGTTAGTCAACAAGTGAGTTTAAGAGCAATTAAACCATCATTTCATCAGAACAAAGAGAGGTTGGTTTGTCCTCCATCCTAAACTTCTGGATAACCTTCAAGAGCTTACTATACAGGCAGGACATAAGAAGTAGGTTTGGGAAGCCAGGATGTGAGGGAAACCATGTAAGGCCATTTCTTTTCCATTGCAACAGCAGTAGCTTATTATTATTAAGTGCTCATAAAGGTTGAGAGTTGGATCAACTTACAGGAATCCTTTGCTCCAGTATTATGATTTAACTTATAGATTTCTAAGCTATAAGCTGCAAAAATTGTGATACATTTTAATGTCCTTTTTCATGTATAGTAAATGGAGAAGGCATGTGAGCATTCTTTAGGCATTCCAGGAATAATGTTCCTAAGTGATCAATGTTTTCATTTGGTTCTTTCTCCATCCTTAGGGGTAAACACTAAAATAGAGCTAAATGTGTTTAATTTTTTTAAAGATTTAGTACAAATTCCATAGTAACTTAATATCCAATAACATCTTAATTCACTGGGTTCCCAGGGCTATTTTAAAGTCTTTAGGGGAAAATATAATTCTTTTTTCTTTCTTTCTCAGCTTTGGTATGTTGCCATTAAACTTCACTCAGTCTCCCCATACTCATTTTCAGCTTCTCCATTCTATTCAGCATGCAAGATCCTAAAAGGAACAGGATACTATTAACTGGTGGAGGGAAGGGAAACATTTGTGGCTGTGATGAGCTGGGAGTTTGGTCTCCAGTTCCAAATCCAAGTCCTTGAACTTTTTCAGGCTTCTTTTTGTCCACATAATTAAAGGGGATGCTTAGTAAAGGTCCTCAAATCCTCAATGCATTTTCTGGTTGTCATGCAGAAACATTTAATGGTAGGTCACATAGTGGGACATTAATTGACCCCTTTCCATAGCTTCTGGATGTTTTAGAAGATATGAGTGATATAACACTCCTGCTAGAGTCATACATACTTAAAAAACAAATCAAAACTGGACCTTGAGGGCTTATATTATAGACTCTCAAAGTGAAATGACATTTCAAAGCCAAAAAGAGACATTTTAAGGTTAGAAGTATCATTTCTACTTAAAAATTATCTATTTTATTTTCATGTTCTCTGTCTGTGTGTCTGTGTGTGCATAGAAGCCATAAGGGGAGATTGAATCCCTTGGAGCTTAATCATCTGTAAACCACAGGATGTGGGTGCTGAGATCCAAACTCCAGTACTTTGAAACAACAGCACAACTGCTGAGCCACCTCTCCATGCCTGTTTCTACTTTTGATTAGCAACATGAAAGAAATCCATAAGTCTTGCCAGCAATGAATCCTTTTATTATGTGGTAGGAATTATAACCATTCAGCTGGGTGTAGTAGTGAACCCTGGAGGCTGAGACAGGAGAGTTCAGAATTCCAGACCAGCCTGGGAAACATAGCAAGACCTATCTCAGACAAAGGGAGGGAACTGTATAACCACATAAATTTCAGTGTTAAATTTAGTTATTCATGTGACAATTTTTCTCTTCCTATAATGGTCCAAATTGTCCATTTATATTTACTTTCAAGATGAGGAATCTTCCAATTCAATAAACTGGCTGATTCCATCACCATGAAGATTAAAACCAAGTTCAAGAAGGTTTTTTTTCCTGCTTCAAAACCATGAATACAAATTTAACACTGCTAGCATTCATAAAATTGTGTTGAAGCAGTACCAAAGAGAGCAGAAAACCATCATCTCTGCAGGAAAAATAATTCACAGGTTAGCTGCGTTAACAGTGGGGAGTGCTGTCATTTCTGGTTAGTCAGGACAGTGTGGTATCAAGGTTGCCCTGGAAACTGAATTTTCATGTTGGAGTTCACATTGAGGTGCCAGTAGTGTACATAATGCTATGCCAATGTCGCACTTCCTACATTGCTGAGAAAGATCACAGCAGTATCATTAGGTTTGGAGCACAGACCTTCAATGGCACTGAAACTGTTGTTTATGAACTCTGTCCTGCTGGCTCTGTTGAACTGACTTACAGATACTTAATCTTTTCTGAGAAAAATAAAGAGATTGAGAGGTCTGTTCCATCTCTATTTCACACCATAGTAACCAAGGAAGCCAGAAAACAACAGGATTTTGTACTAAAATTTAAGACCGATAGCCAAGCCCACCCACCAAAATATATTGATTTATTTTTAAGTTCCCATCATACATTCTGGAACTTAATTTGCTTTCCATTGTTCTTAATTCTACCATATCCTTTGAGATGTCCCAACAGTAGCTACATAGATCTTATATCCACAACACAGAAGGATATTAAAGAAGAGAAGAATGAGAGGAGGAAGAAATAACAATATTTATACAGCCAAAATTTTGAAGGTACTCTATTTTTATTTCAAAACATGAGGAAAATTCAAAATTGGAGCTTCAATGACCAAAAACATGTTGGAACAAAATTTTCAGGCCACCATTAGGGCAACAAGTCTCACATAGACAGGTGGATGTTAGAGAATGATACTCAAGACTTGGCTGAAAATATTGCACACATACACACCCACAAATAGATTCCTACTTGCTTGACTAATTCTCAGTTGTGAGTGTGGTGCATTCCCCATGCCACTAGTAATTTATGCCTTTTCCAGAGTCTGTGCAGTATCCCTCTCTCCCTCTCTCTCTCTCTCTCTCTCTCTCTCTCTCTCTCTCTCTCTCTCTCTCTCTCTCTCTCTGTGTGTGTGTGTGTGTGTGTGTGTGTGTGTGTGTTTGAAAAGCCTACTTCCTCACAAAAGTTTAGCATCATTTACCTGCAAAGGACTTCAAATTATAAATTCCTTATGCCACCTTTATAGCCCCCAAGTCATTTACAAATAACTATAGCTGCAGGACTTCCACAGTCACATAAAAGAACCCATGTGTTAGTTATTTTATTTAGTATCTTCTAGGTGTGAGTAAACCTCACTAAACATATCAACGGACTTGGTGTCCGGAACTTGAAACTGGTAACTGGAACTTGAAACTGGTAACCTTTAAAGGCAAATCTTAGACCAAAACAACAAAGTGAAACAACAACTGAAGACATCTTAAGAAGAATTGGACAAAATTTCCCCCAATATGCACCAAATAGGGACAGCCTGACACACTCTTTCACAGGGCCCCACATTTTCCCACTAATGCAGAGTTGTCAGAAACCCAAGCAACATTCGGAGCCAACAGGGGAAATGCCTGAATCTGAAAAGTAACCAAAAGAAATTCTTTCAGCGAAAAAAGATGGGAATGGAAAATGAGTTCCCAGAGTCACTCTCTCTTGAAAGCACACTGAGTCTTTAGGACAAACTTGTGGGACTCGCTCCATCTTTATCTACCTTAACTCTTTTCTTGCCAGTCCTTCTCTGGCTGGTTGAACTGCTCCTGTGGTTGTACCAGCCAGAAAGCCACTTAGCAACAAGCCTCAGGAGCTGCATTCCTCGCAGTGACAGGAGAGGATGTACCGGTAAGTGGCTGTAAGTCGCATGCCCCCGGAGCAGCGCAGGCGCAAAGCCTTCAACTTGGAGGTCTGAGGTCGACAGCAGTGACAGGAGGAACGGAAAGGTTGCTTGAGGACAGTGCTGAAGGACACCAAGGGCTCAGAGCGTGATGCCTGGCTGCAGTGTCCCTCACATCTGGCCAGGAGCACCATCTGGAGAAATAAGGGGAAGTGGTTACTCTGTGCAGGTGTCAAAACCTCAGGTTACCACATTATCCTTTGAAAAACCACAACATTCCTTGCTGATTCCTGCTGGGTTGGACCAGTGGCTGCAGTCTCTGGTTATACATCAGAACCTATTGGAAAACCTAAAATATGTGTTTAAGACACTGTGGTTCAGAGTTAGAGGTATTGTTTAGCATGTCCAAGGCTCTAGGTTCAATCCCCAGTACCTGGAGATTGGGAGGAAGCTGTTCAATACTTCCCCATCTGAAATCATTTTGAATTAAACTCCTTTAGTAGAGCCCAGGCTTTCATGATCTAGACATTTTAGGGAACCGTGAAGTGCAGTGAGGGCTTAGACTTAGTTAACAAGATATACCACTACAGTGTGAATAAAAAGATCCGGGAACAGGTCTGGTGATATACGTCAGGTAGTAGAGTGCTTGCCTAGTGCCCACACATGTCTGGGTTCAATCTCTAGGACTATATAAACCATGGATGGTGCCACACACCTGTAATCTCAGCACTTAGTAGAGGCAGGAGGATCAAGTACATAGTGTGTTCAAAACTAGCTTGGGTTACCACCTTGCCTCCAAAAACAAAACCAAATAAACATTTGAGTGCAAAATGAGTTTCTCCTCATGGAGGGAGATCTACTACTGCCCAAACGTATTGCTAGTCTACCAACAACAACAAGCAGAAAGTCACATCCAATTGAAATCTAGGATCAAGCAGAGTGATGGGATTAAGGGTCCACTGGGAAATAGCTGAACAGAAGGCATGTAGTCTCTGTAGAAGTAAAATGAGTAAAGTAAGTGTTGCTTTGAAAGAAATCTTTTAGGTGAACATAGAAGAAGAAAGTGAAGCAGAGACAGGGTGTATTTGTGGGCCTTAGAGTACACAACTGGGTTTATACCTTAAAGAGGTACCTGCCACTTGTACAATTTGTATCAGCATCTTGGAGTCATTTGCAGCAAATTTATCCTCTCCATTTCCAACGGTTTGGGCTGCTGTGTTGAAGCATGTGTGCTCTGTATAGCAAGACTCTATTAAGATTCTGATTAAGGGGATGGGCAGATCATTTAGTGCTTAAGTCCACTTGCTGGTCTTATAGAGGACCTGGACTTGTTCTCAGAATTGACATCACATGGTTCACAATAGCCTGTAACTCCAGTTCCAGGAAGGTTCCACACCTGGTCTTCTCAGACAACCACACCTATGTGATGCACACAGAGACAGGTAGGAACACACACACACACACACACACACACACACACACACACACACACACAATAAAAATAATAAATCTAAAATGAAAGACTCTGTTTAAAAAATATCAAAATTATCCTCAGAAAAAATGTACATACTCAACATTTTGCATAAATCTTAAGGAGATGGGCAAAAGGCTCCTTTAATTATTATTTTTTGAGAGTAGAGGTAAGGAACACAAGGGGATAATTCAAAAGCAATACACTTTCCTAATAAAGGAGGCCTGGGAGTTTCCTATGAAATCATATGGGTATTCACACTGGAAAGCACTTTAGATGTGGACATATTTCTGAGCACACTGAGCCTAAGGAAGAGATTGCCAAACATGCCTGTTTTAAGGTCATGATTTTAGAAGGAAAGATGCTGAACACATTCCTTGGCATGCCGAGGTCAAAGCCATCAAGTGCATGTTCAAGCAGATAAAATGATACCCAAAAACTCTTCCTGCCATGGTTAGTTTGAATTATAACAGTGGGTGGGTGGACTTGCTTTGTTTTCCCAAAAAGTTTAAGCTAAACCAAAAGAAAAGAATGTGTGTCAAGGCTGGAGATCACCACCCCATACAGATAAAGGGCAGCTCATATCATTCAATCCTGGAATCCAAGGGGTGGAAGGGATGAGACAGGTGTTATATAACCTTATGGTATTTTGGTTAATATTAAAGACTCACTAGAGATGATCTCTGACATCATTCTATGGGGCAAAATTAAACGCACAAGGATAAAGGGATAAACAATGGCCAACACATCTTTCCAAAATCAGACAAAGATAACTCCTGATAGTTAAGGATTATCAACATCATTGTCTAAGGAAATACTGGGAAAAATTTCAACAATTAATTCACACACATGAAAGAAATGTAAGATATCTAGCAGGACTGAGGGAGGAATAAGTTGGACTGGTCTAACATTACTTTCTCTGCAAGGTCACAAAGGCAGAGATAAAATGGCTGTGGTAAGCCATCTTGATTCTATCAAAGTCTTAATACTATTCTGTTCTTCAAATTGATACAAAAGAAAAATATCATCCTAAACAGGCTTGACAAGATTGGGCCACAGATAAAGAGATAAGTAGCACCTGCCTGTCTCTGGCATTTGCCTCAAGCTCTCTAAAAAGAGAGTCCAAGAATTTCCCCAGTTCCTTCTCACTATGTCTGTAAGTACATGGGAAAAGCTGTTTCACACATTGGAATAGTGTAAAATTAGCTGCCCCCTAATCCAGATACCTATTGGAGATTGAAGCAATCACTCAGCCACTTTCAAAAAGTATTTAGAGATCCACATAGATAAAACAAAACTGTGCCAACAGGAATAATTCAGAAGGGTCAAAGACAGTGAGTCAAAGATAGCTCTAATGGATCAGGATGTTAACTGCCCATAAAATAGCTAAGTCTGCAATACAGGTCAACTTGAAGAAAAGGCAACATAATTGTTATTTCACTAAAAGCTTTCAGGATATCAAGCTCCATGCCCAGTACACAGTGAAGGACAAGTTGTCTAGAATGGATGGACCAGGGTTCACCTCTAGTAGGTCTGGCTCCTGTTTCTCGTGTACTGTTTCTTCCCAAGAAAAATGAACAAATATGTATAGTCAACACCTATCATGGCTGCCCTAGGTGTCAAGTGTTTCTAGTCTTACAGCTGTTCTAATAACCCTTTCCCTGCTCCAGTAAAAGTTGATGTTAACTACTGTCTTTGTGCATGTCTTTGCTCTCCCAGGAATGTGATTTTCACTTGGTTCTGTCTAATGAAATCCTTCTTCCATCTTGTCTGTGGACCCTTGTCTGTGGACCTCCTCCTCCAAACACTGAGACAATGAATGGATTTTGATGTTTTCAACATACACACACACACACACACACACACACACACACACACACAGAGTGGGGGGGAAGGGAGGGAACAGAGCCACCTTTATAATAGGAACTGAACATGCACAGAAACATTCCTTTCTACTCTTTTATCCTTCTAAACATGTTTCATGACTTTGAGTTGAGTATTTTTCTTCCAGGTGCTCTCTATCTATGTATGAGGAACAAAGTCCACCCATACCACTTCCCCACACCTTCCCTCATCAGCAACATCAAGACAGGACTGTTCAGCTCATCTCTAGGAACCCAGGTCAATATTGCCAGGCTGAGGTCAACAACAAAATGACAAAGTAGCATAGGGGTGGTGAGGCTTGAAGATTTGCATGGGAATTCATGTCATTCCAACAGCTGTCTGTTACTATCACACAGGCCACAAATCACACAGATGTGAAAAGGCATTTGCATACAGAACACTTCCCTTTCCTATATCCTGCTGAAGCATTATGAGAGGTAAACATTTGTCTTCTTCTCATTTCATTTCTGTCTCTAGCAACTTTCGTGATGAATATACACTGTAGGCATCAGTATAAATTTGTTCTTATCTTAAAAAATCAAACCACATCTCTCAAGTGAACAATTATATTAGAAACTCTATATCCTTTTCTCCTATAATTGTTCCTATGAGCTTCTTGGGCAGCAGTAGTAGATGGCTTGGGGATTCTAAAAGTTCTTTCCCAATCCTGCAGCTCAGTCTTTCACACAAGAAATCTTTTCTTTGGGAAATTTTAAGCCTTGTCTCAACTCACTTCCTTTCCTGTTAACCTACTGTCTCATCTTGCCCATAATAGTTGCTGCACACACCACCCTTAGAAGCTGGTTCTATTCCCTCACCGTGGACCACCATTTCCTACTTCTCAACAACTTGGGCTTCAAACACCCATGGAGCCAGTTCACATTGCCAACCCATGTTTCTGAAAAGCCAAGCCTGGTCAGGAGTCAGAACTCATCCCTGCACACCCTCCACTCACCTGGTGAAGGTAGCCAGTCAGTAGTCTACTCCTGTTTTGTTCTCACTCTTAGCATCCAGCACAGGAGCTTACATTTACTAAGCTTTTCTGCTCTTCCCCACCCCTCCCACATCCAACAAAGCCATAGGGTGATGGTACATGTCATTCTGTAAATATGTTTCTCTTATTGGTTAATGAATAAAACACTGTTGGCAAATAGGAAGGCAAGATAGGTAGGATTAGAGACAAGGAGGATTCTGGGAGATGTAGTAGTAGATTCAAGATGTAGGGACTTGAGAAGAACTCCGTACCCTCTCTCCAGTAAGCTTTGACCACATGGAAATACTTTGATTATTAGAAATGGCTTAATATTTAAGACAGAGCTAGCCAATAAGAAAAGCTAATAACAGGCCAACAGCTATATATCTAATTTAGTGTCTCTGTGTATTATTTGGGCCTGACATGCCATGGACCAGGCTGGAAGGAAAACTGCTCCTAACAATAGGAAGGTTCACTTTCCTAATCCTTTAAAACTATAAGGATCCCAGCAGTTATTGAAGTCTTAGAAGTGGCAGAAATAGAAAAGTGGGCTGAAACACATGTCTAGTTTACAACTTCATCATCAGGACCATAATAGCATTTATTAAATGTTTATTATATGGCAGGTACCATATATGCTAGCTGTTTTACAAATATTGCCATTGTGGTCATACACGTCCATGCCCTTGGATAAACAGCTCCTTTTGCAGAGGAGAAAACTAAGGCACCAAACAATAGTTTGGCTTTCCTGAAATCACCCATTTTGAAAACTGTGAAACTAGAATTGAATCTAAAGCATGTCTTACTGCCTTGAAGCCTGGGGTGCCTTAGTGTCCAGATAGCCCATTTCCTCTAGCTGCAGGCCTTCAGCTTGTTTGCTTTATAGTCTTCACACAGAATTACAGGGGAATGTGATTTCTTGGGAAGAGTAGACATGAACCTGCCATTCCCAGGCTTTTTTGAACTCAGTCCCATGAGATACCATCACTAATGAAGTCACCACCTAGAACTTAAAAGTGGTCACTCTGTGTTTTGTAGCAGGTCACTCATTTCTGTCTGAGTCCGATTTATTTTTTTCATGAACTGTTAGAAGAAGGGTGATGGGACTTAAAACTGGCCCAGTGCCATAGTGGACAGAGAGTCCCACTACAGGTGTCCAGAATAGCTTTATTTATTACTTTTTTTCTAGGAACAAAAATGTGAGGGATGAATCATTACTGCAGGCACCTAGGCCTGGAATCTAAATGATAGCTCCTACATTCTTCTTGCATTAAGGAGCCAGGTAGTGGAAAAATGAACTCTCCAAAGAAGATATTGCCATTCACAGGCTATGTGGCATAAAGAAACTTAGTCTTTCTTTTCTTCTGGGTTATGGGTATCCTTTGTTGTAGCATGGAAATGATAAAACCTAAATGGCAGGTTTCTTGGCAAACACACACACACACACACACACACACATTAGAGTGACTGGCATAGGCTAGGTGTTCAAGTCAGTGCCCTCCCTTCCTTCTGTCCTTGGGCCACATGTAGCTTTCATTTATATTTTGGAGGCCAGACACATTGCATTTATCTAAGTCAAGGGCATTAACTGGTAGGCAAAGTGTGGTCATGTGTCCAGAAAAAATAATGGCCTTAAAAGTAATTGTGGAGATATAAAATCTGTCCTTGTCTCTCCTTTTCAGACATAGGCTAAATTATTTTATCCCAAGTCTCTGAAGAACACTTCATCAGATGAGACCGATTAGAGGGAATATCAGCCTGAATCTGTAAATGTTAAGAACTATATTTCCAAATGAAAATAATTTTATTCCTCAATACATAAAGAAAATTTAATCCAGAAAGTGTCTGGTAGCTGTAACTCTGCCAGGCATATATTTGTGGCCAAGAAAGGAAGGTTAATAATTACAAGCAGCATTCACATAAAACCTTTGCTATATTTTGGGTAATTTAGGATGTTTGAAAACAGATCATTCCCATGCAATGACAAACATTTCTTCTATTATCATAATTTTACACTGTTATCCTCTGTGGCATTCTGGGATAAACAAAGTAAATAATGATCAACTAAAAGTTGTTTCTAAGATCCTGCTCAAATTCTGCAAGTTTGAGTTAATGACATTTCTTCCTTGACCCTTCCCCTCTTAGGTTAACATGCTAAGACAGTCTTCCATCATTTTATCAAATCTTTTTATATTATTTTCAATTTTTCTTTTGGTTCTGGGGATGGAATCTAGGATAATAGGCAAGTGCTCAACCATTTAATTCTACCCCCAGCCCACTTTCAACTTTTTATAGATGCTACTATTTTCTATAATCCTTCCTTTCATTACAGTGGCACTTTCTTACATTTAAATTCTTCTCTCTCTCTCTCTCTCTCTCTCTCTCTCTCTCTCTCTCTCTCTCTCTCTCTCAAGAAACATGATTATAAAGGACAGCTTAACAAAGGAAGAAATCACCCATGAACTAATAAACACCAAATCTCAGTGCTGTCTATTCTGAAACAATTTCTGAGCAATCCTGGTTATAAAATGTTTCTCTTATCCTCTTTTCACAGTCTGTTTTAGTGGTTGTTGCTGTTTTTTGTGCTTCTGTGGTATTGAATGAACCTGATGGAAGCAAGTGTGTCTCCTTAAGCCCCACCTGCTCAAGCTGCTCCACCAGCTCCTACTCTTCATTACTAAGAGAAAATTTTAGCAAACTTTATGATTGTCATTGTGTTCCTCAAATATGAATAAGATCCAGGATAATTTCTTAAGTGGAAAAATGTCTCTTTTTACAATGATGAAATGATTAAGTAAAATTTTGATTCCCCTCACACTAAAATAAGGAATCTTCCTTGGGCTACAATCACATATGTTATGAAAAATGTAAAACCAGACATGTTTTGAAATGCAGGATGAAGAGACTGATTTCTATAACCTTAATTCCAGTGATGTATATTATTTTGAAAAATCTTAATTACGTGGGTAATTTGAAAAATACTTAACATATGATAATGTTTAAATGGGTTTTGTTGCTGTTGTTGTTGTTTCTGTATCCAGACTAAAGTGAATATCCTTTGAGGTTGAACTAAACAAAGTCTTATAAACTATGCGTGGACACATTTAGGGCATGTGACTGGGGCAATGATAGTCATGAGGATTCTCATTTGGAATCCATCCCATTCTACATTCTGGGTGGTCTCTGTGGCAGCCACTCTTGGTGGTCTTTTAGCATGATATTATTTATTACTTTGCACACCTCCTCTCAGCACTGAAACATAGATGACCTGTGCAAGAAGCACTCTATTCACTGCCAATAAGAAAAAATTCCTAAGCAAGATGAAATGATAATGTAGTTGTCATCCTTAATTCTCGAGTCATTACAGCATAAATGTGGCACATGGAGGAAGTTTTAGACCACACAGCTGTCTCTGGGGTAGGTCAGAAAACTGTTTGAACAGCCTCCAAGAAAGTGTTCCACTGGTAAATCTTCTCCCTCTTTTTTTTTTTTTTTTTTTTTTTGATGCAGGTAGAAGGAATTATGGTAATTTGTAGGCTTCAGTTTTCATTGTGTGTGTGTGTGTGTGTGTCTGTGTGTCTGTGTGTGTGTTATGTGATATGTGTATGCACACATTTCAGCACATGTGTGCATGTGTATGAAAGTGATCCTGTCTCTACTCCTTCAGCCTTGGGATTAGAGATGTGTACCACCATGCCAGATGCTTTTACATGGATTCTGGGGATCCAAATGGAAGCCTTATTTCACTCCCTGAGCCATATTCCCACCCCCTGTTTTTGTGTATTGAAAAGGAACATTATTGCTCATAAATCCCCCAGTCAGGGACACAAGACACCCCAACATCAGGATGATAAATGCAAAACATACTGGAAGAACTGCAAAGAAAGATTCCCTTAGGAGTTTTGCAGGTCAGTCACAGAGCTCTAGTTTGGGCTCTGGTCACAGTTCTCCATTGACTGACAAGGAAATATGGCTTCTCTTCTGTAAATGAGGGAAAGGGATATCCTCTCAAAGACTTGGGAGTGACCTTCATCTTACCTTTGAGCTACACTTGTACAATGGGTGACTGATAGAATCAACATAATGGTGCCTCATGCAGCGTTGAGAGTCCATCAGGAAGGAACTGTCTGTTTTGCTGTCTGTATCTCCCATTATGGCCAGGAGGGAGAGCATAGAAATGGATGCAGCTAGTACATGATTTCTCATTGTTGTGAGGGGAAACTTCTGCAGAAGAACAGCAGAGGGAGACAGAGGACAACAGATTGAAAATGCTGACACCTCTTAGGATCCAGTTCCTTTCAAGGCCAGGGCAGGATGGGGCTGTCTCTTTCTGGTTGTCATTGTCCTTTGTATGCTGGAGTTTTGTCTTGCTCCTTTCACTTGTAACTGATCACCACAGTGTCTGCTGCACAGCTGAAATGAAAGCAGAAATGATTTTCCCCAGAAATATGGGTGCAACACAAAAGATACGTAGTCCAACATTTCCATGTCATTTGGGGTGAAGAGTATTAGTTTCTAGAGCTTCATTAGCTTATGTTGTCATCCATTTCATGTCCCGTGACCTCAGTGTTTATGCTACATATTTATGACCATTTGGAAATGGACATGATGTTTGAGTGGAAGAATATGTTAACTTTAATTGCACGAGTCTATGTGCCTAAGAGCAAGAATATTTTGAGCCTATGGTTGAGATTAAAAATACATGGTTCTGGCCACAGCATAAGTAAATTGTGTGGTCTCATCTATGTCCTTGGTTGGCAAGGCAGGAGGGTTTATTGAGATTCTCTCAAAGATTTGCTATCAACGTCAGTTTATGGGGCTAGAGAGGAGGAAGGTCAGTGCTAATGAACACAGGCCATGGCCCAGGGGAATACATTTTCCATTCTATACCCACCCACCTCATTTTCCACTGCTAGGCTCTGGGCTCATCCTGTTTTTGATTTAAGTCCTTGCCACCCAGTATCAGTGGCCAAGTGCATCTGAAACCCACATTATGATCACCGGCCTCCAGCATGGCTAAGGCAGTGCATGCACAGTTCCCATAGAGTCACACATTTCTGCACAACCTTTGTAGCTGAAGCCCACAGGGTAATGTGGAAAAAAAGAGGCCACTGGAGCAGAGACTTCCCATTAATGTGAGATTATGTTGGACTTATTTCTCTAAAATTTGCTTTGTTCTTTTAACCATAGCTCCTGGTCAAGGGACCAGACTTCAGCAATCTACTAAAATTACCTCACTGGTGCTTTGTATTATGCCAGAAGACACAGAATAGCAAAAGTATTTTCAAACATGTGGGGAAATTGAGAGAACCTGACTGTACATATGAAACCAAAGGAATGGGGTAACTAAAGCTTCAGAAAAACTTTCAAAGTTATTGTAGATCAAAGTCTGATGGTTTTGTTCGCAGTAGAAGTATTTCTCTAACTTCCTTTTAATGAAGAGTCTGAATAAGCAGGGTAAATAAAATGTTCATGTGATCAAGATAAGAAGTCCAAGGTTGTATTAATCAATTCATTTTGCTGTAAAAAGTGTGGTCTCAGACTCACTTAGCTGCAATTAGGCAGCTTGCAAGTATGGGGCAGGGCATTTGGGGTGGAAAATGGTGTGGCAATAGGACTATCTCAGAGAAAAGCATCCCTGGCAACAGCCTGTGTCTCTGGAAAGTTATATAAATTGCAGGAAGGGCAGGGACCAATTATGAGAGGAACCACCTGGACTAAGTAATGGCACAACCATTAATAAGCTGTGGCACCTTGCATAGCTCACTTAAATTCTTCCAGTCCATTTCCTCACCTATAAGATAGAAGAACTGACAGCAATAGCATATGCTGTTCTCTCCTGTTCTAAAATGCCAGCATTGAATAGCAACAGATTTGGATACCACCATTTTGATTTGCAGAGGATAATCCCAAAGATGGGAAAAGCCTGTTCTCAGATAGCCTAGCACCACTTTCTTTTATGTGCGTGCTCATGGTGACATCTCCTTAAAATGGATCAACCTGTGCCCAAATATCTCAAGGGGCCAAGACTGCAGGAGAACATTTTTTCTTACTGAAAATACATTTTTGCATACAATATATTGTGATTACAGTCTCCCCTCCCCCAACGCCTCCCAGATCATGGCCACTTTCCCACTCACACAAAAAACCACATGCTTTCTTGCTCTCATTAGAAAACAAATGAGCATCTAAAAAATAATGACAAAATAAAAACAAATAAACCAGAATAGGACAAAACATACAAGTGGGGGAAAAGAGCCAAAGAAAAAGCCTAAGAAACACATATAGATGCAGAGATATACACATTTGAACACACAGGGATTTCATGAAAACACAAAACTGGAAATCATAAGGGCCAAACAAACAAAAACAAAACAAAAAGTTCAGGCAAAGCATTGTGAGACATAACAGACTTCAAAAAAGAATGCCTTTGAGTTCATTTTGTATTGACTATCTACTGCTGTAGTTTGTATACCCAGTGAGATGCCTTAGGAGAAAATGAATTTTTCATTTGAGGGAGGTTATCAGTTGGAGCTCACTTCTGTATTAGGGGTGTGTGTACCTGACATCTCAGTGCTAAGTGCCAGAGAATCACCTGTGCTGGGGTACAGACATGAGCTTTTATGTGGTTGCTGGGGTTCTCCACTCACTGGGGCCCTCATGATAGAGCAGGACACACTCTACTGCCTAAAGCATGTATCTTGGCCCTGTGAACTGGTTTGTTTCTCAGGGGTGATAAACTAAACTCCAAAGTAGTTAAAAAGAACAAAAGAGGACTGGAGAGATTGTCCAGTGGTTAGGAACATTGGCTGCTCTTCCAGAGGAACCAGGTTCCATTGCAGGCAACCATATGGGGATTCACAACCTTCTGTAACTCCAGCCTCAATGGATCTGATGCCTTCTTCTGGCCTCTTCTGACATACATATAGGCAAAATCACCTATACACATAAAATTTTAAAAAAATAGAAAAAATAAAATATGACATAAATAACAAAAGATATGCTGCTTTACTTCTAGTTTTAAGATGTTTGCTTTCAATACATTCACACAGGTCATGACAATTTTGTTCAGTTTTTCTATTACCACTGAAATAATAATGCAAGCAATAATATTAACAAAAAATTCATCAAACCTTCAAACCACAAATGTATGATCTTTACAGCAGAACACTGGGATATGGCTTACTATTATTATATTATCATTATTATTGGTGGCAGTAGTCTTTTAGATTTATTTATTTTTAGTTTATTTTTTATGAATGTTTTGCCTACATATATATATATGTATTAAGTCCATGCCTGGTGTTGGAGAAGATCAGAAGATGCCATCAAATGCTTTAGAACTAAAGCTATTTATGATTGAGAGCCACAATATGGATGCTGGAAATGGAACCCAGGTTCTCTGCAAGAAAAAGTGAGTCATATTTCCAACTCTACAATTTGTTGGTTTGTTTGTTTGTCTTTGTTTGTTTGTTTTGATACAGACTCTCATTGTATAGACCTCTTGAGATTCCAAGGCATCCTGGAATTGCAGGCCTGTACCACAACACAGGCTGAGATTCCTATTACATTTTGTATTTTGCTTTAACTATGCAAATTGCATGAGCCAACACTGCTGTGTTGAGGAACATTTTATGAAAATAAAGCTCAAGAACAGAGAACTACTGAGTCAAGCCATGTTGTACACAGACCTGAATCTTCAGTGTGAGAAGGGACTTACAAAGAGGAACATGAGGAATTAAGAAAATTTGTGCAACCACAGGATTTGTCGCTTTTTGCCAGGCTAGGATAGCTCAGCTTTATGGGACCTTCTTGCATTTTCTTGAAACTAAATTAATTCATTTGTCTTTTTTATTTTAAGCCATATGCAGCACACTCCGCCAGCCAGGCCATGATGAATTGAACAACAGAACTCAGGAGTCCTATGTCCTCTTTGTGCTATGTGCTTTGGTACAGTCTCAGACCTGAATTTGGCCGCAAGGTAGAGTCCATGTTCTCATGGCTCCAGTGCAGAGCCTTTGCAGCAGGAGAAGCACGTAGACCAGCATGCCCGACTTTGGAGCTACCTTCCAAATGCAACCAGTGGAAAAGAACAACTGGCCCCAGATTTCCCCCACCTGTCATCCTCATTGAAATAATATAGCAGCCTCCTGGGTGAGAGATGGTGCTGTGCCCACAGATCAGCTCACTTTGGGGCTGACCTTCTGCCTGGCAGAGAGTAAGGCACAGGCTAAGACAAGAGTCATGTGCCAAGAACGGCCTTGTTTTTGCCCTACTTCTGAGGCAAAGGAGGGCAGTGTTTCCATATTTATGTCCCTCCTGAGCTGTTTTCAGTGCTGAAATAGGCACTGAAATAGATGTCCTTTCTCTAGTTTCTTTCAACAAACTTTTATTTATTCAACATACATTCATTAATTGACCACCTACTATGGGCCTCCTTTTACTCTAGGACATAAAAGGTAAGTATCAGGAGTCAGGGGTGTGGCTCACATGCCAAGGCCTAGGGTTAAAGGCCCAGCACCATAAACATATAAAAAAGATAAAAATCAGAGGAAAAAATAGGTTCACTGCATTTATTAGTAAAAATGTTGGCCTGTTATTTTCCTGTTTAATTTGGGGGCCCCACTGATACATTCTATTTACTAAAAATTTATATCCAGCATGCACAGCATCATCTCTGAGAAGATTAAATGAAGCAAATAAAATAAGATGACTTTGAAATGGACTTGGCGTATCACACAGAAATATTTATTAATTATTATATTCTTGCTTATTTTTTTGACACTGGGTTTCTATATGTATCCCTGTCTATCCTGGAACTCTTTCTGTAGACAAGGATAGAATTGAGCTCACAAAGATAACCTTCATCTGCCTCCCAAGTGCTGGGGTTAAAAATGTGCAACACTAATTCCAAGATATTTGTTATAATTAAAAAAAACAACTTATAAGTCAGGAATAAGGCAAAGATAGCAGTAAACAAAAGCATAGACATTATAAAAATAGAGGGGAATTAAAGCTGTAAAGATGGAAGAAAGCTTGCTACTAGGTAATATTTCATACAAAGATTGGAAAAACAAGAAATTCTAGGTCTTATTCAGATTGCAAAGTGTTACGTAGTCCCCCTTTTGAGAATCCAAAGAATTCCAATGGGATCTATTCAACAAGATGCCCTGAAGAATAACTTGGATGCCTCTTCCCAAGACACTTATTTTATAAACAGTAAACAGTGTGTTAGATTGTATGAAGCATCACCTGCACTCAGTCTCTGGTTTAAGATTATTTCTATCTGGCAGCACATGAATAGCCATCGAGAAACCAATACTAAACTGACCCTGAAGCAGTGGTACTTGATGAAAAATATGTGAAGTCCCTGGGGATCTCTAAGGATGTCACTATAAGGTCAATGGGGGAAG